CGCCCGGCCTACTTCCTTTTTTTTTTGACTCAGTGTCTCACTCTGTCACCCAGGCCAGAGTGCAGTGCTGTCATCATAGCTCACAGCAACCTCAAACTCTTGGGCTCAAGCCATCCTACTGCCTTGGCCTCGAGAGTAGCTTGGACTACAGGTGCCACCACATCCGGCCAATTCTAATTGTACTAGAGACGAGGTCTCGCTCTTCTTGCTCAGTCAGATTGGTCTCGAACTCCTGAGCTCAAGTAATCCTCCTGCCTTGGCCTCCCAGAGTGCTGGGATTACAGGCGTGAGCCACCACCCGGCTGCCCGCCCCCCCCATCCCCCTCCTTGATTTTCCACCTGAGGAACTTTGGCATTAATAACATTAATGAGAATAATGAAGTGCTATGTGGCCCGGTACAGCAGCACATGCTTGGTTTGTGCTCTTGGCCCACAAAGCTTAGAATCTTGGAGACTTTATGCAAGAGACCAGTTTGGGCGCCCCTCCTCCCTCCCCCTGTGACCTGCAGGGTCTGTGGCCCCCAGGAAGCCCAGCCTCGCCTTTCTGCAGGGCAGAGGCTTATCCAAGCTGCCTCTTTCCCCAGCCCTGGGTGTGATCTGCAGGCCTCCACTTGTCTGAGACAGGCAGAACTTGTGGGCTTGGGGCACGGAGTTGAGTACAGACCTGTTGCCAGTGTCCTGGGGCAAGCACTTTGCCTCTCTGGGACTTGGCTCTTCGTGTGAAAAGGGGGGGAAGTGCTCAACGCGGCTGCTCTAAGGATGAAATGAGATCTCGGCCTGCGCTTGAGGGATGTGCACGGGAAGTTGCGAATGTCAGCTCTAGGGGAAGACTGTGCCCTCCCTCTGACCAGCCTATGCCCCCACAGGCCTTTCTGGAAGCGCTGCATAACCAGGCCGAGGCCAGCAGCAAGATCGTCGGCCAGTTCGGGGTGGGTTTCTACTCGGCCTTCATGGTGGCCGACAGAGTCGAGGTCTATTCCCGCTCGGCGGCCTCAGGGAGCCCGGGGTACCAGTGGCTTTCAGACGGGTGAGTAAGTGAGGAGAAGCCCCACCTCACACAGGAGTGTCCCTGTCCCCGTCCCTGGGGGCATTTGCAGCTTGGACTTGAGCTGAAGCAGTCAGCAAGGAGTTTGGAAAGTTAGATTCTCCTCAGAACATGCAAATGAGCATTTTCTGGGCTTTTCACATGAAATCTGACTCTCCCACTTTGGAGAGCCAGTTACTTCCGTGGCTCCAAATGGCCATGGCCTCTCTGTGATCCCGTGTGGTTGGCGCCATCACTGTGCTCTGGGATGTGGGGCCCTGGCCCAGACTGAGCTCTTTCCTCAGCGGTCTGGCATTAGCACCAGCCTTTCTCCTGGTGGCCCGTTCTGGTTCCTCCCTGACCCTGCAGTTTCCTAATGTGGCCTCGCGGCTGCCCCGCCTCCACAGAGTGGGGAGTCTGCCTAGAGCCTCCTCCCGTGCCCGCCAGGCTTCTCTCTCCAAGACGCCTGTGTTTTCTCCGGTGTGCGCTGGGGCTGTGTCTGACGAGTTGACTAGGTGGAGTTTCCAAAAGAACTTGAGACCCCATTTGAGGAGCACGATACCTTAGCCAGGTGTCCGCGTGTTCTGGTAGCCTCAGCGCTGCATTTCTGCAGTGTGCTCTCCTGGTGCGTCTGGCAGCACAGCCAGGAGAGGAGGCCTGGCCCGGGCACAGCGTGGCTCTTCCTCTGTCACAGCCAGGGTTTCCGTTGAGTTCCACGGAAGTGGTGCTCAGAGTGCATGTGGGCCAGGGTGTCAGCAAGGCCCCGCCGAGTATGCCCCTCTTCCTGTGCTTCTGCAACGGTTTTCTGCTCTTCTCAGGGGTCACTTGGCCTGTGCCAGAAGGTCAGAAACAACGCAGGGATTGGCCTTTATTTCTTCTCAGGTGTCTGGCATGGATTTGGAGCCAGGCCAGGCCCCACCAGCGCCCTGGGCCTGCTTTCGGGTAACAGGCCCAGGACGTCCTCCTGGAAGGTGGGCGCAGGCTCGGCAGTTCTGACGTCCATCCAGGGGTCTGAGGGGCTCCACCAGGGTCAGAAAGCTTTCTGTCTGCCCGTTGGTCTGGGCTTCGCTTGTGTAGAAGGGAAAGTGGGCGCGTGTGCCGTGCAGGGTTTTGTGAGCAGCGATGTGTGGAACTGGCTCTTCCTTTCCCCTGTGTCTTAGCTCTGGCGTGTTTGAAATTGCTGAAGCTTCAGGAGTTAGAACTGGGACAAAAATCATCATCCACCTCAAATCCGACTGCAGAGAGTTTGCCAGCGAGGCCCGGGTTCGAGGTGAGTGGGGCTGGGAAGGGCCGAGCCGCCCCGTGCCCCAGGAAAGGGCTGGGCCCAGGGTTGGCCACCAGGCCCGTGAAGGACAGAACTGCCGGTTCTGAGTCCGAGTTGTGGCACTGGAAGGCCAACCTGGCTGGCAGAGACAGGGCTTGTTCTCTCCTCCCTCCCTTTGCGTGGCTTTAGAGAACGTGGTGGGTTTGGCGCAGTCCTGTTGGAGGACGCTGGCGGCCCTTCTGCCCGGCCTGAGCCAGAGGGGGACGGTGCTTTTGCGTGTGGTTTTTCCCTTCCCGTGTCCCGCCAAGCCCTTCGCAGCGTCCACTGCTGGCCCAGAAAACCAAATTCCTGCCACCAGCATCACGCCACACGGCAGGCTGGGCCTCTTTCCGTCCAGGTCCTGCTGCTGCCCAGCACGTGACCAGGAGGGGAGGGCGGATGTCCCTGCTGCGCCATGGCTTGTGTACCTGTGAAACGGGCACAGCACAGAGGAGCCTTTCCCTGCAGGCTTGTGCTCAGGCTGAGAAGCTTCGTGGATTCAGTGTTGTTTCTCTTCTGTCTCTTCCAGATGTGGTGACAAAGTACAGTAACTTCGTCAGCTTCCCCCTGTACCTGAACGGAAGGCGCATCAACACCTTGCAGGTGAGACACTGAGCACCCTGAAGGGCTCGGTCATTCGTGGAGACGAGTCCACGCGTTTCAGAGCTGAAGGGGCAGAGGTGGGAAGATGGGAACTGGGGTGCAGGCAGGGTCCTCAGCCCTGCCACAGGCGGGTCCCCCTGGTCCGTGCAGCTCAGTGGTGTCTGGTGTAGTCACAGAGTTGTGCAGCTGCCATGCCAGCCAATTCCGGAACATTTCCATCACCCCAAAAGCAGCTGTGCCTGTTGTCAGTCACACCCCTTCAGCCTCCCCCCGCCCTGGGCAGCCACGTCTGCTTTCTGTTTGTTCATTTGCCTGTTCTGGAAGTTTCTCATAAATGGCATCACACCACATGTGGTCCTTTGTGGCTGACTTTTCTCACATGGTTGAGCCACAGTGTGGTGTCAGCGCCGTTCCTTTTCATGGCTGAGTACTATTCTGTGTCTGGAGACCACCTTCTGTCGTCGCTGCGGCCGCCGGTGACCAGCATTCGTTCTCACAGGTGCCTCCTGACACAGTGTTGGGGCTGGCGGGCTTGCTCCAGAGCCTTTTGTGTGTGTCTCCTACACTGGAGGGGCTGGGGGTCTGCACCCAAGACCACCACCTGCCTGTCCCCGGAGGCCAGTCCAGGGGTTTGGGCGCCACTTGCTCAGCTCCACAGTTGTTAGGAAGACACGTTTGTAACATGACAGCTCTGTCCGTCTCCGTTTCCAGGCTCTCTGGATGATGGACCCCAAGGACATCGGCGAGTGGCAGCACGAGGAATTCTACCGCTACATCGCTCAGGCTTATGACAAGCCCCGCTACACCCTGCACTACAGGACAGATGCGCCACTCAACATCCGGAGCATCTTCTACGTACCAGACACGGTGAGGTGCTGCTTGGCCCTGGTGCGGCCTGCAGAGTGACTCTGCTGCCGCTGGAGCAGCGATCCCCGCGGCCACAGTGGTTTTGGCAGTGATGAGCACTTTCCCCAAATGGCAACAGATTTGCAGACACGTCACACAGTTAACTTTGCAGCATTAGAGCAAGAGAAAACCAGATGCTTCTGGATGGATGAGCATAGGTTTTCCCTCTCGCACGGGTCACACGCGGCCAGGGGATGTTTTGTCTGGTGTCTTTCAGCACAGGGCCAGGCGCCGGGCTCAGTGGACCAGGATGCTGGCCTGGATGCTGGGGACCAGCCCTCTGGGCAGCTCAGTCCCCATCCAGGCAGCTCATTGCAGAGCACTGTGGGCGGGGCCTGTGGCCGGCGGCCACGCTGGTGCACTCTGGGCTCCCTGAGCCCCTGCCTCATGGCTGCTGTCAGCACGTTACAGCTCCAGCAAATCTGCAGTGAAGAGACCTGTTCCGGGCTTCAAACTTAGCCTTTCCTGCCTTTATCTGCCTAGAGCTTCTTAACATCCCTCATTTGTCAATATCCGTAGTGGAGTGAGCTGAGTGAGGGCCTCCCCCCTCACGTGTGGTCCACAGACAGAAGCATCAGCACCTCCTGGGACACATTAGAAACACAGTCCCGGGCCCCACCCAGGGCCCTCAAGTCAGAGCCCGAATTTTAACAAAATCCCGCGTGATGGTGAAGTTAAGTTTGTGATCGGAAAGCGGGAGCGGACGCTTTCCGTGAGGGCCAGAGAGTGACTAGCCCTGGCTTTGGGGTGATGCGGTCTCTGTTGTGCCGACCGACTCTGCCACCGCGGTGAGGAAACTCCACGGACTGGACGAACAAGGAAGGGTTGGGCTGTGTCCTGTTGGCTGTGTAGACATGCAGACTTAAATTTCATATCTTTTCCATATATCGTGAAATAGTCCTTCTAACATTTTTTCTTCAACCACTTCAAAATGTAAAAACCGTTCTCAGGCCGTGCAGAGATAGGCTGTGGGCTATCTACTGACGCGACCTGTAGCAAGGCTTAGCTCCGTTCAGGAGGACACACAAGTCTCTGTTTTCTGTGTCCTCCGTGGGGAGTACAGACTGGGCACTGGGGAGGGTGGCGGCTGCCCAGAGAAGGCCGCCCCAGCCCCACAGAGCCATGGGGTTGGGGGGGTGCTCCCTGGATTTAGAGCAGGGTGGGCGGAGGTGGGCGCAGCCAGGCACACCCTCCTCCGGCCTTTTCGTGGTCTGGATACATCACACCCACCCCACGCCCCGGCCCAGGGCAGTGTGGGAAGGGCTGGCTCTCTGGGATCCTGCCTTCAGGGTCTGCCCCCTCGCAGCTGAGGTGGATTTCCACCATTGCTGCCTGACACTGTCCTTTCCTCGCCCCTAGAAACCATCCATGTTTGACGTGAGCCGGGAGCTGGGCTCTAGTGTCGCGTTGTATAGCCACAAAGTCCTCATCCAGACCAAGGCCACAGACATCTTGCCCAAGTGGCTGCGCTTCCTCCGAGGTACAGTAGCCTGGTGCCTGCGCTTGGTGTGGGCCAGAGCCTTGGGTCTGTGAGTGACCTCCCACGTGGCCCAGGGCTGCTGACTGCATTTGTGCTGTACGTGCCGATCTTGCTCTCAGTTTGTCTTTAGTGTGTGCGGTCGGGGCAAGCAGCCGCAGTGTGGCCACAGAGCCGGCCCCGGTGTGGGCAGGTGACCAACCAGCTTGTAGGGAGCAGCTTGGGCCTCCTGGGAAGCTTTCTAGTTTGACTTGGGGGAAGCAGAGGTGTATTTAAATTGAGATCTTTTGATATTTAGAAATATTACCTGAGTTTCAGATTTGTGCATGAATTGTGTTAAATTTGAGGTTATAGTTTAATAAAAAATTCAGCTTTTAAACTTTTGTATCATTTTAGCACACGTTGGTGCAAACTATCCACGTAACTATAGTTACGATTTTTAACATAAAGTGCAGAATATCATTTTCCCCGTGTCAGGTGGATCTTGACGCCATAATGCTGTCCCCTGGCTAAGGCTGGCCCGGCTTGCCTGCCCGCTGCTCACGTCTCCAAGTCCTGCACGAAGCTTGGGAGGTCTCGCCGGTCCCGTCCTTCCTGCTGCCGTCTCACCTCATGGTGGATTTGAGGCCAGGCTGCGGGATGACGGGCCAGTTGTCTGGAGGACTTGGGTGGTGGGGGAGAGCCCTGACCTCCGTGTCTCTCAGGTGTGGTGGACAGCGAGGACATTCCCCTGAACCTCAGCCGGGAGCTGCTGCAGGAGAGCGCGCTCATCAGGTGAGCTCAGGGAGGGCAGGGAACTGGGGTCCTGCTGACCCCTCACGGGCTCCTTTGCCACCAGAGGGCCCAGGGTGGGACTCCAGGAGCTGAGAGCAGAGCGGAGAGCTGGGGAGCCGAGCCTGGGGGTTGCGGTCCTTGGGAGCCTTCCGGGTTCCCCAGGCCCGGCCTCTGGGGCGTCCCTGAAGCAGCTCAGTCTATGTCCAGAGGAATTTGGGGATGGCTGGTCACCGCCACGCTGGAGTCTAGAAACGGGAGGGCTACAGAGTCAGCCTGGGCCAGCCTGCCCCACCTTCGGCACGGGGCTTGCAGCAGGCTGGGCAGTGTGCAGAGGCGGGGGGTGGGGGGACCCCTGGTGTGCTGGCTCAGGGTCCTCCAGCAGCGTCTACTCCCCGACTCTGGTTCCAGGCTCACCAAATAATCTTTACTCAGAACTTACTGGCTTTTTTCCCCAGTGCAAGTAGTGTCTGCTTACTAGAGAATATACAAGTCACCTATAATTTAACCTAGAGTTAACCATCGTTTACGGCTCAGAGTGTAGCAGATTGGCAGCCAGGTAAGGGCAGGTTTCAGAGTTAACATCGGGGACGAGAATTAAATTGGAAACAATATACCTTTGCAAATCTCTGAATTGCCCGTAAAGTACAGTGTGCGGTATTAACGTGCCCCCTTGAAGTTGCACACGCGAGCTCACGGTAAGGTCGACAGCCCGTTTCGCTTCAGTCGTTGGGACAGGCGCTCCTTCGTAGCTGGAGGCCGAGGCTTGACGTGACGACGTGGGGATGGTGAGATTCCCTTGCTGTGCCGAGTGGCCCTGGCGCTGAGAGAATGACAATCTGTCTCTCTCATCGCATGCCCTCAGGCGCAGCTGGTCCAGGGAGGTGGTGGGCAGGGCGCTGCCTGCCTGGGCCCTCCTGCCGCCATGTGGGTCCTGCCCTATGGCTCCTTCCCGCCCCACCCTCAGAGGCAGAGAGCCACACAGATTTTTAAAAAATTTGTTAGCATCATTGAATTCATGTTATTTATACTATTTTGTTTGCTTTTTTTCTACCTAATAGATTATTTGGAACACTTTCCACTGTCATTAATTTTTTTGTTTGTTTGAGACTGGGTCAGGCTCTGTCACCCAGACTAGACTGCAGTGGCGTCATCATAACTCACCACAACCTCCAACTTCCGGGCTCAAGCCATCCTCCTGTCTCAGCCTCCCCGTAGCTGAGACTACAGGCACATGCCACCATGCCTGGCAAGTTTTTAAATTTTTTTGTAGAGACAGGGTCTTGCTATGTTGCTCATCCTGGTCTTGCTCTCCTGGTCTCAGGTGATCCTCTGGCCTCAGCTTCCCAGAGTGCTAGGATTATAGGTATGAGCCACGGCGCCCAGCCCGAGATGTGATTTTTAATAGCCGTACGGTATTCCAGTGCGTACGGATTGTAACCTGCGTTCTTCCATTAAACACCAGGGTTCATAATTGTTTCGTGTACCACGGTGACAATCTTGGTCCGTAAGTCTTGGTGCACTCACGACTGTTTCCTGAGTGTAATTCCCACAGTTGGAGCATCCAGCTCACAGGGCAGACACGTTCTCCGTGCCAGGGTCTTTGTTGCCGGACGGTCCTCCACGAGGAGCATCAGCTCACACAGCTGTGTCCAGGGTGCGCGCCCCCACGCGCTGCCTCCTGCCGGGCGATCGTCAGGGTTTCCCTTTCTTTCTGCCTAGGCTTTCTCAATGTGGCCAAAAACGGTTGTTTTCATTTCTCTGACTGTTAGTGGGGCTGAGCACTTTTCATATCTTTCTGGTCGTTTGTGTTCAGTAGAAGCTGCTTGTTTGTGTTAAATGAATTTCTGTTCTGCAGGAAACTCCGGGATGTTTTACAGAAGAGGCTAATAAAATTCTTCGTTGACCAGAGTAAGAAAGACACCGAGAAATACGCCAAGTTTTTTGAAGATTACGGCTTGTTCATGCGGGAGGGCATCGTGACCACTGCCGAGCAGGAAGTCAAGGTAGGGGCTGGGTTTCCATGCCTTTCTTCTGGTCCTTGGTTCTGGGGCTGTGGAGGCTCCTGGCGGAGGTGTCACCCTGGACGTTACGGTGGTGCAGCCAGGCATCCAGGCCGCTGCTGCTGGGGCAGGAAACAGAGGTTGGGCTCTGCCGGGTTCCAGGCATGTCCTTGCCCTTGTCCTGCAGGTGCCATGCTTGTCACCAGGAGGCCAAGCCTCGCTCCCTCTGATGCCCCTGCCCCGGGAGCAGGCAGGAAGGGGGTACACACTGTCTCGTCGCAGAGGATGTTGGGGGCTACAGACGGCAGGCCGTGGTGTCTGACTCCCTGGGGTGGGGAAGGCGAGACGCTGCTATGTTTAATAAGGAGAGGCTCATGATATACCAGGCAGAAATGCCATAATACCACAACATTGGGGCCAGTGGTTCAGTTAATTGAACAACTGATTGCTGAAAAATGATACATTCATTCCATAAACATTTTTTGGCCATTTTTTATTTACAGGTCATGTACCGTAAAGTTTGTAAATTGTAGTCTTTTAGGGCCAGGCAAGGTGGCACACACCTGTAATCCCAGCACTTTGGGAGGCCGAGGCAGGAGGACCGCTTGAGCCCAGAAGTTTGAGGCTGCAGTGAGCTATGATCAGGCCACTGCACTCTAGCC